GTGGGTTAACAACAAGCAGCTCTTAGCTTGCTGTTGAGGCAACTGTATGATGAAATACTTGAAGTCTTTGTTATATGAATGGATACACCCCAAGAGGATATAAATGGAGTTCAAAGGGGGTGTAAGAGACTCTGGTGTATGAATTAGCTTGCTTTGGTGAGAACAGTTTTGGCAAACTTATGTTCACCTTAACTGGGTATACAAACTGGGTATACAAATTGGGTTTGTAATAATACACTTTAGATGACTTTAAGAAAGCTGTTTGTTGAAATATAAACTTGTAGGGCTTTGGGATAGTGAGTGTGTGTTTGGGTGAACTTAATTGGAAAATAAATGACACAGTGAGTTATCATAATTCAGAGATGGTGTAATCATCCTGCATTCAGTCCCACCCTCTTTAAGATGGATTTTCGCTAAGTTATTCAGCCCAATACACTTAGTGTACAATCTAGCCTTGATCACAGGTCTAGATTGTTAAGGTTTACAAAGAGTACAACACACTCCAAGTTACTTTATCCTTTATGTTTTTCACTAATGAATCGAGATGATTCAAAAGCTATTAAGTCCTATTCTACCTGATCTTTGGATTCACAAATCCTTTCAAAGATTTTAAAACTTGTTGATTAACAAAGTAATCTAACCTCCCAACTATGCCAAGCTTTAATGATATAACTTTGACTGAACTAGTTTGTATCGTATATAAAAATCATTGGTGACTTCTTAAATAATGATAAATTTTGGTTGTATGAAGAAATAAAACTTAAAATTTATAAATAAAAGTCACTAGAAAACAACTGGAGATGTAAAGTTACTGGAGTATTGTCTGTATCGTCTTAAACAATTGTCTGTATCGTCGAAAATACTAATATGGTTTGTCAGTGTGAACAAATAAAACTAAAATGTATGTACTTGTATATTTTTTGTGTTTGCCAAACAATTTTTGGTTTTTAGTTGTGCCAAACATTCTTTGTTTGTAGAAGACAACTAATGTCTGTATACGAGCATCGACTTTTGTGACTTTTTTACGGAAATGGCTGTGTTTGTGGCACAAAAAGCGATGCTTGTGTACAGACATTAAATGTTTGTGGCACATGAGAAGTGTTTGTACTTGTATATTTTTTGTCTGTGTTGAACATTGTTTGTATGTGGAAGACAACTAATGTGTGTACACATACATCGATTTTTGTGCCTTTTTTGCCGAGATGACAGTGTTTGTGGCCCAGAAACCGGTGTCTGTGTACAGACATTAATTGTCAGTGGCACTTGAGAAATATCTATACTTGTAAGATACAGACAACACCTCAGGTTTATTTTCGGCTGATGATGATCAAAATGATAAAGATGGAAGATGGTGATGAAAGATGACACACGATTATGAAGATGGAAGGGGTGAAGATGAAGATGATGAAGATGGAAAGCAAAAGAAAGAAAAAGAAAAAGATTGAGTGGGAGGGGGAACCATAGGGAGAAGAGAGGAGAAAGGAAAAGAGTGAGGAGGGAAGATGGTATTTATAGTGTGTATTGGCGTGTACATGTAGTGTGTACAAAGAGCATTTTTGATAAACTAATATAGATGCTGGACAAATTAAAGCACAATGGTTTCAACTCAAAAATACTCTCACCCGCATTCACTATTATAATATTTTAGACCATATCCTTTAATAGTGTTAGCTTCTCATTATGGAATATTGCTTAACTTTCTTGCAATTTCATGTAGCAATGTCCCTTTCTCATTGTTTTTGAAAATCAAATAACTAAGTTATTAATAAAAGAGCAAAGATACAAGAGAATAAATAGAATAAATAGCCTAAGACTGCAATGGTATGAGACATAGAAAGGAAAAGATCCAATGAATCCTTCAAGATCACTAATCCTGCAATAATGTAATCTAGTCTAACAGTCTTGCTGCTCTTCTTGCTACTCCAAAGAGAATAAAAAATTATAACTAAGAGATCCAGCTTCACTAGCCACCGGACTGGAAACGCATCTCCCACCTATTAGGCGAGCAAAAAAACGACCCAGTTTGAAGCTGAGAACAAAATTCAACTATATTAGTAAAATCGTGAGGCCCATCACGCCAATTATACTTGGTCCGTAGAAGTTTACGCGTGAACCCCAAGCAGAATGTGTTCAATACTTCAATGGAAGAGGAGCATCCTTATGTAGCCAAAGTGGAACGAGGAATCATTTGATTCTTTCAATGTGGGAAATGCATAACTAAAGGAAAGAGTACTTACTAGGCACTCGCATAAAATGCTTTTAGCTCATTTTTTTGATTAGCCTTTAGCTTAGTAGCACATTGAATTTTACATACATTATCTTACAACAATGATGCTACAAAATATCACTAGTACTAAATAATTAGTGTGTGGTGGCAGTGGGCAGGCCACGATGAGTTCTGGTGGTGTGGGAGCAGTGGTGTGGGGCAACTAGGGGCGGGGTGTGGCACGATGCGGTTGTCCGGGGCCTAGGGGTGGGTGGACACTGCTAGGGGGTTGGGGGATGCAGGATGGGGGCTGGGACTGTGAGCTGGGGAGTCATGTTAGGGGTGGGGTTGTGAGGTCGGCGGTGGTGATCGACAGTGGTGGTCAACGACGGCACATGTTGGGTATGGCAGTGGTCTCTGACCGGGGCAGTGTTGGTCACTAGGCGGTGGCTTTGGTCACTAACGGGGTGGATGATAGTCGCCGAACGGGTGAGCAATAGTTGTTGAACATGCGAACATTGATCAATGGGTCACTGGATGGTTGGGACTTGAACGTTGGTCATTGGACAAATAGACGAGCATGTTATTGTGTTTGTAGTAACCCTTGCAAAATCACCGTGCTCCAGATTAGCAACCATGTGCTATCCGATGCGGCGTAAGCTCCTGCCGTCGAACCCTTTAAGTGGGTGAATATTTTTCGCAAAGTGCTCCGATCAGATGGTCCAACAGACGATGGTGGCGATGTAGAGTTTGAATAAGTGTTAATGGTGAATCGTGAAGGAGTACATTGGCTATGGCTATGTTGAGCAAGAGGGAGAGAATAAAAAAAGTAAAAGAATTCAAAATAAAACTAAATTGTGATGTGGATTTGATTCAAGTGTCTAGTTGGAGATGTAGGAGTAGCATGGATGACACATAATCACTTTGAACGTTTTTTGTAAGTTGATGGACTCAATTGAATGATTATTTAGTACGAGGACTTAATTGACTTTTTGAGTATAGTATAAGGATTTATTTGACAATTCTCCCTATAGTTTATCTTTAAATTACGGATGTAGGGTATATGTTTTGGAGGTTTTAACTATTTTTAATGATAAGATATTGATGTTATATTTTAAGTGATATAATAGAAATAGTAAAGAATGTAAAAAAGGTTAAATAGCTTGAAATAAAGATGAAGATGTATGAATAGAAGATAAAAGTGAGAAAAGTAAGAAAATTTATGTCTTAATGAAGCATTCACAAAAATATGAAAGCGATGCACTTAATAAAACATTTCCATGAGTACATGTGGAAATTTAATAGATGACAGAGTACTATTCAACTTTTTTGCGACGGTTACGAAAATTATATTGGACCACCTAAAATAGACCGATTACAGTTCAGATTATTAAAAATAGATATCATTGTTAATCAAAAAAATTGATGACTATCTCGAGAGATTATTATTGGAAAATGACCTCTATAATCGGCACTATCCAATTACTAATAGTGGACCGATAATATTTGGGATTATTATTATTTTCAATTTTTTATTCGTGTAAATCAACTCCCCATTTAGAACCATTTTATCGATTGCATCATTACCGCAAAAAAAACTATTGAAAATTCATATTAATTTATCATTATTTCCCCACTCATTTATTATTGCAAATTAATACATTTAAAATTCAAATGGCTGCAATATTCCTCCCACATTTCCCACCCACACTTTGTTACTTCTTCCATCCCATAAAATAGTTCTCTCTAGGATTTGGATCGGAGTTTAATAAAGTAGTGATAAAGTGAAAATTTATGGTTGTGGTTGAGTAAGAAAAATGTAAATAAATGGTAGCCACACAAAACTTTCCCAAAAGGGAAATGACAATTATTTTTTGGGACGGACCAAAGAGGAAACTGGGAACTATTTTGCGTGACGGAGGGAGTATTATATACTCCATAGTTATTATAGTTATTATTGATTTATTTATTTTAACAATTAAAAATAGTTCAAAACCTGACTAGGCAGCTCCAATTTTGAAGTTTGAGATAATAGAATGAAATAATTGCATACTTATAACTAAAATAAAGATTGTTTATAAAAGTGTGACTAATGACTAGAATAGTAATGAAATCATAGTAAATTATGTTAAATTTTTAAACAAAAGTTACCATGACACTAGATTGTAAATCTATTAGTCATATTTGTATAAATAAGTTTTATTTTAGTAATATTTTTGAAAAAAAAAACTCTAATAGAATTGTGTTAGTTATTCTCCTGATCCAAATTGGAGGTACTATGCTTTGTCATTTCAATAAAATAACATACATCCAAATTGGGAAAAATTATATAAATACCCCAAACTTTAATGAAGTGTGAGATAAATACCCCAAACTTGCATATGTAATATATATACCCCTAAACTTTATATATAAAAAATTATTTCACACCATGATTGTACTTTTTTTACAAGTATAAATTTAATTTATTGAAATAATTACATATTTTAAAATACTCTAAGCTTTGTTAAGATGCAATTAACATTCTAAAATTTCATTTGTGAAATAAATAATATTACATCCGATACATTTTAATTGAATCCCATCAATGTTTTGTGTTTTTTAAATTATGTACTTAACACCATAAATTACATTTGTGAGAAAACATATGTTCATGGTGCTAACATGACTTTTTATATAAAGTTTGTGATATATACATTATATGTGCAAGTTTGGGGTACTTCTCACACTCATTCATAGTTTGGGATATTTAAATTATTTTCCCCATTCTGACACCCATTCTCACACTCATTCATAGTTTGGGATATTTAAATTATTTTCCCCATGGAAGTTTTGGGAGTACAATGACAATTTGACATCCAAAAAGCCAAGGAGATGTGTGATTCAGGAATACGTATGAATTGCTAAAAATAGTTCAAAGATAGGCTCAACCTCTCATTAGTAACAACACGATGGTAAAATTTTCGGATAAAAAAAGAATGGCAAACACAAAAAAATGTTAAACCAACACAAAAACAAGCCTTTGATACTAATATACTGCTGTGTAGTGTTTCAAGAACCTCTTTGTTGCCTTAAACGTGGCCAGACCTCAGAACTAGTTCCTTACATTGTTTTGGTTCAATGGCTTAGCACGAGTTGATGGATCTTCCTTAGACTCTGCATAAATCATAAACACATAGCCGAGGATCCAGAGGAGGATATACGAGAAAGGGACCCATGGCAAACAAGCGATAAGGCTTAATATGCTACCAACGTACTGTGGATCCCTTATGACTCCAAACGGAAACTTCGTCACCCACGGAATGTTCTTCCCAAATCGAACACCATAGTAGGTCCCGGACTCTCCTAACAATTGGTATACCCTACAACAAGCATTATCACACTATTAATTACTGACATACTTATGTACTGAAATTACACTGTACAATTAAATATCATTTAATAAGTTCACTGACTTCACTCCAATTGAAACTTTATGTGCTCATTTTTTAGATAGAATTTCTTGTATCAGTGTATGAAATTAATATAGAAGAATTTCCGGTGTAAAGATACACATTTATACACACCACAAGTAATGCAAACAAATGGTTAGGTGTGCAGTGTGAAACATTTTTTTCCTTTTGAAATCTTTGATATATCCTGAAAACACAAAAGAAAGAGAAGAAAGTGTGCAATCGTGAAGCTTTTTTATCAAATGTAAAGGTCAATCTGCACAGTAATGAGCCAGCTAAAGTTTGAAACTAGACATAGCAAACTTACAGGTATTAAGCAATCTTAGCTCAAAAAAGAATAAAATGACCCTTGTATATGACAACATGATAGCATACACGACAGTTTACAATAATTTCCTAGTAACCGGAAATGTTTTTCATTAGAATGTGTGCATTTAGACACAAACCAAAAGCCAAATAGGATATCACACATTCACAGCATAGCTAGTCAATACTCAAGCAACTCCTTCAGTACAAATGTGGACATGTAATTAAATTCTAAAACTGCTAATCGAAAACGCATTAGTTAATTCAAAAACATTTTGTTTTTGGGTGGACAGCTTCCATTTCAAGAACTACAATGCATTAATCTGATACACCTTGGTATCAAACGTACTTTTCGAGCAAGTACTGGCTCCGGATTAACGCACTTCGAGTGTACGCAACTCCAAATTCTCAACCTAACGACAATAATAAACTGTGATTTATTTTCTCAATGGCCTCCAAAAAACAACGGTGTAGGCTATTTATTCTAATTGCCTATTGTTTGCTACAAAAGTAAATAAGGAAAATACATAAATGAATTAACTAAAATAAAGTGATATGATGGGCATAGATTTCTCCTTTCCCTGCATGGTTTTCTGCCACCTTATTCCCCAAAGAAATGAGCTGAATCTTCTCTTACCCATAAATAACTGACGGGTCTTGATTTGCTTTCCTTACTCGTGTGGTGCACCTTATCTGATTTGGTGGTGATCCTTTGGTTTGACTGATTGGCGTATCATCCCCCGCACCTTGAGACACCACCTCATCCACGAGGTGAAAATCTGGATAATGGTGGGTAATCGTAGTGCTTGGTTCCCATGTCGCATCTTCTGGTCCACCGTCACTCCACTGAACCAAAAGCTGATCTTCAAGCATGCCATGTCGAAGGACCCTTCTTCTGTCAAGGATAGCACTAGGAGTTGACACAGGCTTGCCATCTTCAAATGCTGTTGGCAGGGGAATTATTTTTGGAGCAGAATCCCTCAGGAATCGTTTCAATAAGGAGACGTGGAACACGGGATGAACCCTTGCAGTATCTGGAAGTTGGAGACGATAAGCCACAGCCCCAATGCGCTCCGAAACTGGAAATGGCCCATAATAGCGACATGCAAGCTTCTGAATTTTGCGCCATGCAATGGAATGTTGGTGGTATGGTTGGAGCTTTAATAATACCAAGTCTCCTACCGCGAACTCCAGCTCCCTCCGTTTCCTATTTGCTTTCTGGGTCATCAGGTGTTGGGCAACGCGGAGATTTGCGCGAAGTGAACGAAGTAGGAGTTGCCGGTCCCGTAACAGCATGTCAACGGTCTGCACATTGGTGCTGCCGGGTGAGTAAAAAGGGATAGTGGGAGGGTGGCGGCCATACAATGCACGAAAAGGTGTAGTCTTGAGGCCTTCATGAACGGAAGTGTTGAGACAGTATTCTGCCCACCCGATGAAATGTCTCCACCGCGAAGGTTGAAGGTGTGTGAAAGCACGCAAGTACTGTTCAATGCCATGGTTGGTTACCTCGGTCTGCCCGTCTGTTTGGGGATGGTAAGCGGTGCTATGTTTGAGGGTTGTGCCGCTCAACTTAAAGAGTTCCTTCCAAAAATTACTCAAGAAAACCTGGTCTCGGTCGGACACAATAGAGCTTGGAAACCCATGCAGCTTAACCAAAATATCAGTAAATAGCAGTGCTGCTTTAGGCGCATCAAAGGAGGTCGGTAAACAACCCAAATGAGTATATTTAGTAAGGCGATCCACAACAACCATAATTACCGAATATCCTTGAGACATTGGTAGCCCGGTTATGAAATCCATCGTAACATGATCCCAAACCTGAGATGGCACAGGGAGCGGCTGCAGCATTCCAGCAGGAGGTTGCGTGGAATATTTTGTGGTTTGGCATACCATACAGGACGTCACAAAATTCTCAACATTTGTTCGCATCTTTACCCAATAGAAGGAAGCGGTGAGTCAAGCTAGTGTGCGCTTGACTCCAGCGTGACCCGCCATAGGTGTAGAGTGAAACTCCCGGAGGAGTGTTTGCTTGAGAGGAGAGAACACACTGATGTAGTAACGAAGCTTGAAAAATAAAACTCCATCCTTGATGTGTATGTGTGGTAAACACTTGCCATCTTCCAACTGCTTATAAGTCTGGTTGGCCTTGGTTTTCGCGCCGAATATCCTCTAATAATGTTAGGACGGGTTGACAAAGTGCCATAAAATGAGCATGAGCCGAGAGATCGTCAGTTTCATCACGTCTCGAGAGGGCATCAACGACCTTATAAGAAGACCCAGTTTTATATTCAATAGTAAACTGATATCCCAAAATATAATTGCTGTTCTGGAGTCTGTATAACCTGCTGTAACAATTCTCTCAAGCTTTTATGGTCAGTCCGAATGGTAAAGATGGTGCCCAAGAGGTATTGCCGCCATTTAGTCACAGCTTCAACGATGGCATGGTTCACGGACATAAGTAGAAACAGCCAAGAGGCGTGGTCCCAACTTTATGCTGAAGAACGCAGGTGGGTGTTCTGCTTGCATCAGGACAGCACCAATACCACTGGCCGAAGCATCTGTTTCGACGATGAACGGTAGCGCAAAATATGGTAAACGTAACACCGGTGCCTGTGTCATAGCCTCCTTCAAGGCAATAAATGCTTTTGTGGCTGCCTCCGACCAGTTAAAAGCATCTGTCCTCAGCAAATCAGTCAAAGGACTTGCAATGGTCGCATAATGTCGTACGAATCGCCTGTAATATCCTGTCAGACCCAAGAAACCCCGGAGTTGCTTAAGGGAAGTTGGTTGCGGCCACTCTACCATGGCTGAAATTTTGTTCGGGTCAGCATTCATGGTCCCATCTGTAATGATGTATCCAAGATAATCCACGGATGTCTTACAAAATAGACACTTTGTAAGTTTAATAAAGAATTGTTGACCAGCTAATGTTTTCAAGGTGTTGAATGTGCAGGTCTATGTTTGGGCTGTAGATGAGGATATCATCGAAAAATACTACCACAAACTTTCTCAAATAAGGTTTAAATAGATAGTTCATGGTGGCTTGAAAGGTGGACGGGGCATTGGTAAGGCCAAACGGCATGACTAGGAACTCATAATGACCGTCGTGTGTGCGAAAAGCCGTTTTAAAAATGTCCTCATGCATACGGATTTGGTGATAATCTGACCGTAAATCCAGTTTTGTGAAGAACTTGGCCATCCCCAATTCGTCAAATAGCTCGTCAATGGTAGGAATTGGAAAATGATCACGAATAGTGACTTTATTTAATGCCCTATATAATCCAAACAAAACCGAAAGCTACCATTTTTTCCTTGACTAACAGGACAGGCGATGAAAAAGGGCTACTGCTTAGTTGAATAATCCCTTGTCTCAGCATATCCTGAACTAACTTCTCCATTTCTGTCTTTTGGAAGTGCGGGTAACGGTAAGGTCGGACGTTGATTGGTTTGGAACCGGGAATGAGATGAATGTGATGATCAAATGGACGGCTAGGCGGCAGTCCTTCTGGTGTTCCAAACACCTTAGCATGGGTATGGAGCAGTTCCAAAATGGCTTCAGGATGGTCGTCTGGCCATATTAAAATGTCCTCGCTTGTCAGGAAGTCAGTAGGTTGGGCGACCAATTCAAAACAACCGTGAATTTCATCGGCTTTCATCAAAGTAAGGAGATGATTATAAGAAATGGGTTTAACTGGCATTGAACAGTCACCTTGCAAACAAATACGCTGGTTATTCCAATCAAATTCCATGGTAACCTTGGCATAATCATGTGTAACTTTTCCCAAAAGTTGCAACCATTGGACGCCCAATATTATGTTGGGACCTTTGATAGGTACAACAACAACATCCAAGCCTTAATCCCAAAAGAATTTGGGGTCGGCTAACATGAATCGATCTATGATATCGATGCCAAAAAGAGAAGGCGGACAAGAAAAGGAAAAAAAAGTAAGATAAAATGAATAAAATAAAGATACATAAATATAAGATAATAATAACACAAGAATATAACCAAGATAAAAGAAAAAAAAAAGAACATAAAAAAGCTAGAAGATAAAAATAACATAAGAATATAAAAAGATAAGGAAGACAAACGATAAAAGAAACAAGAGAGGAAAGGTAGACACGACATCAATCGTCCACATGGATGTGCGCCCTCCACTTTGCTCTCTCCAAAGCCATACTCTCATCCAAGCCAAGAAGACGCATATCAGTTCTGATTACTCTAATCCAAGTCTGTTTGGGTCTTCCCCTCTCTCTCTTCTCTGACTCTTCTCCCCACCCCTCAAGTCGTCTAACAGGTGCATCACTCGGTCTTCTATGCACATGCCCAAACCACCGCAAACGAGACTCCTGCATCTTATCTTCTATAGGTGCTACTCCCACCTTTTGTCTGATTACCTCATTCCTCAGGCGGTCTTTTCTGGTATGTCCACACATCCAACGCAACATACGCATCTCTGTCACACTCATCTTTTGAATGTGGCATTGCTTCACCGCCCAACACTCTACGCCATACATTAATGCCGGCATAATTGTTGTACAATAAAATTTACCTTTCAATTTAGTCGGCATACCTCGATCGCATAGAAATCCTAAAGCACATT